CGGAGAAGTATGATTGACAGCGATAATCAATCACGTAGCAGATATTAGGTATCTATCAATAAATGGAAGTTCTGGAGCTTTTGAAAAATTGGCCCAGGACTTTCTTACCATCCCAAGTGCTTCGCCATAGCAAATGCTGCAATGTCAGCATTCCAGGTGTTCGCAGCAGTAATGCAATGGGTCAGGTTCGACATACGAGAACGAAAACAATCTCTATCGAAGGTAAATATGCAGTTCTTATAAAGACCTCATTGCGGTTTATAAATTGTGCTTACAGCTGATGGAGCACGTACGACTTCCACTTTGTCACCCGGAATTTCTCGTGGGTACGGTCAGTGATAACACGATGGTGATGACCGATGCCGCCTGTCACGATCTCGTCGATGAAGCTAAAGTTGGTGAAGATTCTCAGTACCCTTCATCTATTTTTACTTTTGATCGCTTTTTCAGAACTACCAACTTCTCCTGCTGTCTTCACACGAACGACCAAACATGCAAGGACCGCGCACTAGACCGCGGAAACCACTGATTTTCAAGGAAGTGTTATACGCGGGTATGTGCTGCAGTCAGGCTTAACCATCGGTTGTGTCGACTCCGAAATTTTTACGCCCTCTCCTCGAAGGGATCCACCCCTTCCAACGATCGATGATGTCGACAGTCGTTGAAAGTGGCACCACTTGACACGCTCGAACTTCTCCGCCACTCCTCCAAAAATGGTGTCGAGCACAATGGGAGGCAATACACTGCGTTTCATAATTATAGGTCCACCCTAAATTTTTGCTATTCCAAAGTTGCTGTGCATTTTTGGAAAATGCTGCTATCACCAATAGATTCCTCATCACGGAAAACCTTCATAGTGTTTTTCTGACAAATTCCCCCTCAAGTAACCCAATTAACTTTTTTAGAACGAATTTTCACCGTTTCATGAATATCGGGCCACTCATAAAAAGTTTCCATTTCTCACGATCCGTGAAGGGAATCAGGGAAGCGGGGATATATGTGAGCTCAGTCGACATCGAGTTTACCATACCTCGTGTTATTCGCCTCTCTTCCCAGTAACAAGCTCAAGCCAGAGCACTTACTGAAGTGGGATGGCTGAGGAGCAGAATTTGCCTCCCATGTCGGCCGGCTCATACTGCATAAGCAACTATGTGCGAAATCCTGGTCAGTGCGGAAAGAAGAGTAGTTAGGTAAATAAAGACTGCGTTTCCTTCAAAATTTAAGAGGAATTGGGCGTCTTCTGTCGAATTATACAAGGAGTCCGAACAAAGTCCGTGCTGAAATGCGGCCTTCCGTGAGCAAAACCACCGTGTGGTGGTAAGCCAGCAGAGCAAGAACATCTTCAGCGGATTGATGAAACGCGTTCAAGATTATTTGAGCGCTACAAGATCGCACGTCTCCATTTCTCCGTGGAAAAGGGCTCAACTTATTGAGCGAAGGTATGGCTGTTAAGACCCTTCGCGATCTTGGACTCTACCTCCTTGTTTCGTGCTACAGGTGATCTGAGATCGACGTGAAAAGTTTATTCTAGGTGGATCTGATAGAAAAAGAGGGTACAGGAGGATCCGTGAAAATCGCAGATGGTTTTAATGTAACGTAATTTCGGCGGAGAATCCCTTATGGTTTGAGGCACCTTTGAACGACTGAGCGGCTAGAGCTCGCTTTTGTTTCCTTTCACAAAGGATTCCATAGGGTATCGTGAAGTTCTTTTGAAGCGATTTACCATTTTTCGACAACAACCCCCTCGATCCTTGATTTTTACGCACGATAACGCGGCTGTCCATGCCGGTCCTTCCACGCCAGATGGAAGTGCAGGAAAATGTGGCAGTTATCTAATGGCCACCATGTTATCTGAATCAGATTCCAATGGA